TTACCAATACGTTTATACGAAATATTATTAATACAATAACCAACAGTAGATACGAGTATAAAAAAATATATAGGTAAGATATCTTTAGAAATATAATAAACTGTCAGATCATCTCCGCTCAGAATCGGTTTTCATAAACAATAATATGTTATTTAATTTTAATGCATCCAATATACTAACCTACTCAATGGTGAGATACACTTGACACTAACAATAAAACAGAATGAGTTCCATGTTTTTTTTTTGAATAAGTATTACTTTTTATCAAATCTTAACAATTAAATCTTAGTATTCTTTCTTACTCAATTGAAAAATACGTAATACTTCATTTTAATAATTATTAAATCTAATTGGGTAATCAGTAAAATTATATTTAGTATATTTAACAAAAAGTGTCCAAATTTATTCTGTTATACCGATGTTATGAGATTTTCAATCTTAATAACTTAAAAGTTCAAATCTTCCGTGGCAGCTTGCATGTATATTAAAATTATAATTTAAACAATTTCAGAAAGCATTTTATGTTTTGAAAAAGAAACAAAATAATATAATCTATAAAAAGTCCATATTGTTATTACTTATTACATTGTCTTAGAAATTGCCTATTCAAATCGCCGCATTTGTAGTTATTACAGAAACAACAGAAATTGCATTCATCATCTTATTACAATATCAGAAGATTATATCTTACAAGATGTTACAAAATTATTCATTAACCCTACACAGATAATGCTAAATGTCCCATAAGTTTATATATTAAATGAAGTATAAAAGTAGACAAATAAAAATAATTTTGGATATTAAAATACACAATACTCAAAAGTAAACAGTAGTATTATTTTGTAATTACTATTTATCAATAAGATATATTTTAAAATATTTTATGATATATTAAAATAAAAATTATTCAGATGAATTTAAAATCTAATTTTCAAATATGTATAGTTATTAACTATGTACAAATAATTTTAAAACTGATAAAAAATATATCATAATATACTATATCTTTATAACTGGGGTAGGTCATTATACATAATCGAATTAATATAAGAATAATATAATAATATATATATTATTAAATGTAAATTATATTATTTTTACTTTTGGATAAAGTTTTAAGATGAAATAAAGTTTTAAATTCCATCAAGCTCTACTTTCATAGATATTTTTTAATAAAATATTTTTGGCGAAAACTCAAAAATCGTTGATCTAAATAATCGAATGATTTTTTTCAATTCAATGAAAACATTAAAAATGTAAATAAGTCAAATTATAAACAAAAATATACAAACAAGATATTATAATTGAACTTTTCTGCAATTAATGTGATTTTTATCCACAGAATAAATATTAACATTTATAGATATTTATCCTATTTTTTGACTACATATAATACTTTTCATACTCACATAATATTTTCAAAATAACTGACTAATTGACTGTTTTGCGTAAAATTATTTAGCTAAATGTATGTAACTTGTTTAACATAATAGTTTGGATAATAGTAAATTATCATTTTGAACGTATTTACATGTATTTTTTATTAACTAAAAATTTATCTTCAATATTGAACATTAATTTAACTTTACCGTTATTAAAAACTAATATATTTAATAACAAAATATATTGATACTATTATTATTACAACTATTGGATCAAAAATATTTTTACTGAAAATATGTTATATTTGTATTCAATTTGTACTTATTCTTTAATTATATATTATTCTTATTAAATTAAATATTTATAATTACGCATAGTAGAAAGTACTAAAATGAAAAGCAATAATATCACATTGAATTTAACTAATAAAGGATAAAAATGATCTTAATTACGTATCACAGAGTTATATTATATTAACTCTATAAATGAAAAATCTCTATATGACTAAAATTAATTTATTATTTAAATGCTTATACAATTTTAGATGGCAGTTTAACTTAAGTTGAATCGTTTTAGTGGCAAGTATTAATAAATAACATAAAATGTAATTATTTATTTTTTATGACATTTATAACATATAATTTCGTTATACCATTAGATTAAGATTATTTATTTATTTTTAATAGAGATGAATATTATTATTTTTTAGAATATTATATAGAATAAAATAAAAGTATTATTGATATTTTTAAATTTAATTATCTTTAAAATCGCATAAAGATATTAAAAAAACGTTTCAAAAAAAAAAAAATTCAACTATATAATTTAATAAATCAATATAATATAGGTAATCTTAATAGAAAATGTGTTCACTTCAAATATATTCTAAGTAAATTTTCATTTTATTAATTAACTCAGCAAGAAATTATTACAAACATACTCAATTCAATAATATGTTATCTACAGCGTAACATTTAATGTATAATAAACATACATACATGATTGTGGGCGGATGGGGGAAATCGTATTTTCTACGTTGACGCTACATTTTGGTTTTCTCGACTCCGCAATAAATATGTTTGACAACTCAATCTGTTGTTTCCGGAGCTTTTACTTATGCATTACGTAAATTTGCAGTGTTCAAGAAGTTACAGAAACGGTCAATTCTAACGGCCACATATGATGCATAGAAAAAAAAATTCTTATAAATTGTAGCGGTAAAATGCATGTAATTTATGTATATTATATTTATACATTTTTTTACAGTTAATTGTTATTATATAATTTATTAAAATATTATGTAAAAATTGATTTTAAATTGTCTGGATTCAGACATTACATTATAACTATTACTTGAAATTAACCATAATAGACACACACAATTTGAATAAATAATTTGTTTTTATGTCTTGGGTTTCTCCTTCATACTCAGCAATTGTGTTTGTTAATTTTATTTTTTTCTTTATTGTCATCTGTTTGTATCAACACTTGATTATTAACTTAGGGTGACCATACGTCCCGTTTAAAACGGAATTGTCCCGTTGTCCCGACAAACTCCGAACGGACGCTTTTTATTCCGTTTTTAAAAGATGGTATCATTTTAATCCCATTATTTTCATATTATAAAATAATGTTTGTAAAAAAAATATTAATGTATTAAAAAAATATAAAACAATTTTAAAAAGAGCAACATATTATAATTATTATTTATTAATTATTATTTTAATATTTTAATAAATTATAACTTAAATGTAATTGGAAAAAATAAATGATTATCATATTAATAAAAAATTGTTTGTCCCGTTTTTTGTTTTTATAAAAATGGTCACCCTATATTAACCAGGCGTTAACGTAACTATAAAAGTAAATTTCATTTATAATATTAATAATCATACTCATATATTGTAAATAAGATATGCGATATACCTGCAAACCAAACAATTTTTAGTAGATAATATATGACACATATCTAACCGGCACAAAACATAATATATATATAATATATAAGTTAATCTATTTTATCATCTGTTGCATCTAATCAGATAGAAAAAGATAGGCATTAAATAATTAAAGCGTTAATTTTTTTAAATTTTTTAAACTTACTAATATGATAATTTTCTAATTAACTGAGAAACTAAACTTATTAAAGAATCCATCACAATAAGAAAGGTTTTTCAGTAATTAAGTTAAAAAAATAATGTCAAATACAAATCATGTATATACATTCCTATTAGACTGTAATAAAAATTGATTATAATTAACTATTATTTTAAAACTGTATAAATGTTTTTAAATAATTTTAAATACAAATAAACTAATCAATGTTCCTTGACTTAATAATTTATTTGTTACAAATGTGTAATTATCTAAACTATTATCTACCTATAGGGCACAAAAAATAGCGAATAAAACAGAAAGCATTATAATGTTTATTGTTTTTGTTTTACAAAAAATTTAAAAGTTCCACATTCACTATATAATATTTATGACCCATATGGTAATTAAAAAAAAAAATTAACTAACTTCATTTTGACCAAATTAAATCAATATTTTTTTCCCCGATTCACTTTAATCTTTTTCAGTAAAATATATTGTGTGATAACTTATTAAAGCTCAACTAAGTTCTTAACATTGACTCGACGCTAAATTAACTCGAGTAATATTTTTTTATTGACTTGCCTATCTTAGTTGATATTATGTTATAATATTGAGTTGACACAAACCACAATTATTAAAGGGCACGATGGTACGATTAAACTCTTAGTATTATGTAACAGGTTCAACATGCATAGATATGCATTTGCATGACTTAAACCTTAACTTCTGTACTATTAAAATATAATGCTACGTATTTTATTGTTTTGTTGAATTTCTCATAATGTGTTAACATTTATAAATAATATGCAATTATTAAAAAATGAATAAATTTTGTTTTAATAGAATGTTTCTAGTTAAAGACCCAAACATATTTTTTTTTCTTAATTGAATACATTACAAATAATTAAGTTAGACCAAGATTTCTTTCTTTGTTTGGAACTTTTTTGACAATTTATAATTTAGGAAACAGCATCATAGGTATTATAAAAGAAGTTTTTGATGTTTATGCCTTATATTTCTTAAGACCTTAACACTACAATGGACCAAGAACATCTTATTAATAATTTAGAATGTAATAAAAAAAAAAAAAAATTAATAAAGAGAGAAAAAATGTCTGTCGAGTAGTTTAATAACTTTGACGTAGATTCTAAACGTTGCTTAAATTTATTTATATACACGTAAATACCTATGATATAAAATGTAAATAATAAATTATTTATCAAGCAATTTATATAATACACATATATATTTTTATTCGTCAATATTGTATTTCTTTATGGAATATGCATTTATATCGGAATCGTTTAAAATGTATGGTTTACGTTGATCAAATTTTGAAAGTGGCGTGTAATCAAAAAAAAAAAAAAAAAAAAAAAAAAAATGAAACTTCATGCGAGCAAAGCTTACGGGCATTAATCGACACGACTTAATTTGTCTTCGTGGCGTTTGAACCGATTTCAGTGTTTTGCGCCTACTAAAATTCAATGAGATCACGCGGGAATGCTTTATATAAGGTATACCTGTGTGTATGATCGTATGTGCGACGCGTCGAAATCGGACATCGGACGACGACGACGACGACGGCAGCAGCAACGGTGTCGACACGTTTCTCGTGGTCAACACGACGCGTGTGCGACGGCGGCGGCGTGGTCGCGTTTTATGAACGCGCGGCCGGCGACGACGGACGACCACCACCACTGCACCTACCGGCGCGCCGCGGTCGGTGCTTTGTCGTCGATTGATAACAATTGGGGAAACGTCGTCGGCGGCTGCGGTGGCGGTGGCAACGTTAGCGGTAGCGTTAGTGGAGGTGGCGAAGGCGGGCGGCGGCGGCGGTGGCTGTGGCAGGACACCACATCCTTTGCGGCGATACACACGTGACTGTTTCGAGCGCGCAGGATGCGGCCGGCAAACGTTTCGGCGCGCATGGCCACGCGAACCGACGACGACGCCGCCGCCGCCACCGCCGCCGCTTGCAGCGTCACTTCGTCCACTGTTGTCGCGACCATGATAAATAATAATAATAATAATAATAACCACGCGTAACAATAACAATACTATAATTGCCTAACCTAAAAGCAGATAATGCGTGAGAGTAAATGCGCGACTTTAGCGACAGGAGGAGAGAGGGAGATGTACCTCCCCTAATATATTATATTGGATGATTAAAGTCACGAAAAATGTTTTATTTAATTGGGTGAAAAGGAAATTGGCAAAGAACGAGCGTATTGCTCGCAAGACCGTTTCTCGATTTTTTGGCTATACGCGTACTTAACGTAGAAAGAGATGTTGTCAATTAATTAAAATAATACATCATCGCTTAATGTAAAGGACATTTTAATTGTTTGTTTTGCATATTTTTTACTTCTCTATCGTTTTTTATACGTTTAAAATATATTATATTTTGTAATTGTATAGTGCCTAATTTTGTTAAATCCTACACTTTTATTTTTATTATTTACGTCAAATTACGGTTTGGAATTAAAACTAAATTAAAATCTATAGTAACAAATTTTTAGTAAAAAGTAAAAAATTTTCAACAATATTAATATTGACGAAATTACGATCGGTCCTTATTATTTATTATTTCCAATATAATTAATTATATCTTTAAATGTTCTATATTTTTTAGTAATCATCGCCTGCATATATTGGTAACTGACATATTATTTTCTCATACATGTAAATTTTGAGTGCATAATATTCGAATTTATTCAAAATAATACTTTTAAGATATTCAAGCATGAAAATTTATTATAGCTATAATATAGTGTAAAATATATTATATGATATCGTTGTCATTGTTATTCATGTTTTCTTACCATACGGTACAGCAATGCATGATTATTATGTTATCGTTCCGAAGGTCTTGTGCGAACAACCGTGTCGTTGTCGTCATCGTCCAGGTCCCACGAAAATATGTTTACTTAGGCCGCTCCACATTAATTTTAAATTAATGCGCAAGGACCTCGTTGGGTTAAATCAGGTAACCTATCCTAACCTGACCAACTCAAGAGTTTCTCAAACTTAACGTGACCCGCGTCTATTATATATGTAGTAAGTCTCACCATCGTCGTAACTCAAAAACATGCAAATAAAAATCGAAGCCATTTCCAAGATTTGCATGCAACGGTTTCAATTTATTACTTATATAATAAACATAAAAATTCAAAATTATAATCATTATACTCATGACAATATGATCTGAATGTAAACACTAAGTTAAAGTAAGCTAAAAATAAACGTAATTAAACTTTTTTTAAAAATTGAAAAATTAACAAAACATATATGATAAATATATTACAATGTTATTTTCTATTGATAAGTGCATAATTTCCAAAATTTTCGAATAACACTTATTCAAACGCAATAATTTAAAACAAATCAACATATTCGTGCAATAATGTAACTCTATTTAATGTACGTTGTTCGTGATTTCCAACAACGACCGGTATTTGTTTTAGGGTTTTAGGAATAGTGTTTATTTAACCGATGCAATTAAAATATAAAATTACTAAACACATATTTTACTGCAAAAACGATTAAATAATTATAAAACTATATTATTTAAAAATTAATTTATCTTTTGTTGCTAAAATTGCATGCATAGATAATAATTAATAAACAATTATTATGCCGTTAACTTTACTATCGTTAAGTCAGATCATAAATTGTAATATTTGTTTTAGTTGTTTATTAGACGGGATAATTGGCATTATACTGTTAAGTTATAATAAATTATAATATATTGATTAAGTTGATATGTTTGTATAAACTTATTATATCAGTCTATACTTCATACAAAAATACATATATTTTCAATAGTTTAGTTGGCTCCATTATCAAAAAAAAAATAATAGTATGCTTACTTCCAAAATGTAATTTTTAATTTTTATAACTTTAACATAACTGTTAGAGCATTTTATATCTTCGTGTTGTTGATGTACGTATGAATGTAAATTATCATAAATTGCATTACGTACTACGCGATGTCATGAAACTGACAATGTAATATATTATTAGCGTTTTTGCGTTTTTTTAAATAATTCATACCTTTATAGCTGTCAACACGAACAAGTGTATGCAAATATGCTAATTTAGAATTGTTCCTCTGAAAGTGTTAGAAAGGTTTAAAAATAAATTATCACAGATTGAAATTTTTAATTTCTTTGATTTTATTGATAAATTATTTTTCGTTATAAAATTTTTGATTTAGTTTAAGCAAATTTTTACCAATAATACTTGATAAACGAAATATTAAATAAAAAAACCAATAAAATACGTTAAATAAATTACGTTATTGTAAATAACCATTAGGTTTTATCATCCAAGACGGAAAAATCAGTACTAACTGTAATGTTTTTATTCTGAGATTTTAGTAAACGTATTATAGATTCTGATTGAAACGAGTAACGTTTTAGCTAGTATAACAATAGTTTTATTTTATCGCCAGTTTCTGTAAACTTTTTTCTAGACGGAAGAACTCTAGAATAAGTTTCATGCAGATCAAAAATTAAGTTTATTCATTACTTTGAAGAGATAATTTTTCGATTTACTTTGTTGCAATAGTTTTTCATATTGTAAAGAACAAGTAACGACCGACGACTGTCCAAAATTTTTAAAGAAATTTCAACAAGAGCATTCTGCTCATAACCATTTTTTTTTTTATTAAGTATCAATTTTTCAATAGTTTATTGACTATAATGAACTGACTACTATATATTATATATTATATTATATTATGTACATTTATCTGTTATTTATCAAATATTATTTTATATTTCAAATTAATCTGTTAATTATTTTTTCATTCGTAACATTAACTGTTGTTAATTTTTATAAATATACATACAAAATATTTTAGAAGAAAAATATATTTTGTATAATATTTTTGTAATAATTTTCATCCAATAACTTAATAAACTTTATAATAACATAGAATTGGACCAAATATTGACTTTATTTTGACTTTTATAATGCCTAATCTAAATGTGTTTATACGGGAAATCTATACTTCACAACTTTCGTCGTAGTTATTTATCTTCAATAAATCTTTCTCTAAATAATAGTCAACAACAACCGCCATATTCACTGTTGTATGAGCATAAATCAAATTTAGATGGCGTAAACACAAAGGTGATTAAAATTATTTGGTGTAGTTTAGTGATTTATGGAATATTATAAAAGTATAATTCACATAATCATAAAATTACATATACTCCGTAATTCAATTAACTATAGCTGTGTAAAGTTTAGTTTCAGAAACTGTTTAAAGTTTAATTTGAAGTGCTCTATGGTTTTTCAAATTATCAAAATTATATTAAGAAATATAAAATATAGTTTTTAGAAAAATTGTACAAATTATATTAAAAAATAGTATACTTATAGATTGCCATCATATTTTTAATTAATTTACTAAAAATAAACATTTTATGCAGTAAAAATATCTATAACAAACTTTAAGCATAATTTTTAAATACAATTGTATTATAATTATCATATTATGAATATAATGTTTACTAATTTTTCAATTTTATAGATTGGATAATAAATTATTTTATAAGTTTGAATATTATATTTTATTAGTTAAAAGTACAAAAAAATGTTTTTGTACAATTTAACATTTTTGACACGCGTGCAATTAATTATCTTTCTATAAGTACTTTTTTATATCATTAATTTTAATGCTGGTTAGGTAAGGTTTAGTTAATATTTTAAACAGAAAAATTTTCAACAAAAAATGCCCATCATATATTTACATAATAACTTAATTTAAAGTTCAGAATATGTGAAAATGTTATAAATAAGACTGGTCGGCTTTTTTTTTTTTACTTTTATAATTTTTTATAATTTTACGTACCTATCACAAGTAGAACTTACACAATAATCTTTTAAAGTATTCTCATATGGTTCTATATGAGAGAAGAGAAGAATTTTTTTCACGTATACTCATATGAAATTTCTTTCATATAAAATCCAGGTAGTGCTTCGCTAATATTACTCTAGCTCATATGACAGTTTAAATCGAAAATATCTATCAAATTTAAAAAGAAATTCGTTTAAGATAAATCACAGCTATGTAAAATAGTAAAAATATAACATTGAACCTTAAGTGACGGATTGTCCATGTGCTGCGTAAAATACCCAGAAAGGAATACAACGAATGAAAATGTCCAAACACGTACCCACTAAAATTTACGAGATCAAATAAGTTAAATAACTGATTCAGGTTGGTGATATTATGGTCGCTAATAATTAAAGCATAAAACCAGGGGCGGGATGGCCCGCCGGGATGTTGGAAAATTTCTCAGTGAATCAGTGTTTAATGTGCCCGTTATTAATAAAATCAAGTAAAAAATAAAAATTTTGAACTCATTTGTTTTAGATATTTTTAAATGTTTATTAATTACAGAAAATTGTTATGTAACTATACGATAAATATTTTAAATATCTACAATTATTTGTTTTTAAATTACACCAATGAAAACATAACCGATTTTGTCGAATTTACATAAAATTTTCATTTTTTTGTTTATTTTTTCCGAATATTTTGAAAAATACTGTTAATTTTCAATTTTAACATATTTTAAGTACAAACTAGATCCAATTTTCTATCCAAAAGTCTGTCTACCACTGTACTATATGATATTAAAAACGTGTTGAAAACGGGTACATCAAATTTTTTGCCTGAATCGCAAAATTCCTGAATACGGCTCTGAAGAGTGAAGATACTTATAATGGGGAAAAATAATACTTTTAATAAATTAGCATTTAGCTAACCATAAGTTATATGTTCAATATTATGATTTTTATTGAAAATAAGCAAAATTTAAAAAAAAAAGATATTTTTTCTTAATACACT